TCCAACCCAAACCATTCTATGATTCTATTGAGAGGCAACAATTGATACATTGAGTGTTTCTCCATGGACAGTCTCTCAAGGTTGGTTGGTTTGTGAGGAGGGTTTGTTGAAGGACAGTTTGTTTTAAGAGCACTCAAACAAGAAAATTAAATCAAATTTACCTTCTTGTCAAAGTGACAAAAAATGGTATTATTACTAGAAAGATCTATTATGCTATCTATAAATCACAGAGGAGAAAGTTCTCTTTAAAAAAGGCTGGTATGTATCAGCTGTTTAATAGAGGTTTTTGAAGGGAGGGATGCAACCTCAACAGTTTGTGACATGTATTTCTAATACCATTTCTGATCAAAGCTAATATTTTGTAGGTTTTGTTTATTCCAGTGGTAAAAAAACTCCGTACTTCAGTGAAACGAAGCTTCTTTAGATGGAGTTGTGGACCTGTTAAAGTAACTCTAGCTTTTGTTTTTTATTTAAATGGAAAATGAATTCAGTGTAAGTCCCAGGTTCTCAGGAAGAGATGCAAACTAGAGACTTCTTTGGAAATAGCTGATTGTGAACTATCTATAATAAAAAACTACCCTTCTCCTGGATAACTCTGCAAAGTTGCCTGAGCGTAAAACCCCTGTCTAAGAGTAATGAAGTGGGAAATTTTGAACCTTATTGAGGACTTGAGTCTAACCACATCTGCCAGCAAAATCAGTGACAGACGCAACACCTTTGACTGAAATAGCCCAGATGGTACAAAAATTTCTGAAGGAAGCATTTCTCATCATCTAGAGTCATCCTTGCTCAAAGTCTCAGTGTGACACTGATCTTGAAGGGAACTCATCCTGGCATTACATATAGCCGACCTTCAGCACGCTGACACGCACTACCTTAAGACTGTATGCTATCCTCTTGAAAAACACATACATTCCTTTAACTGCAGATTTCCCCTAATCACTATATACTGTAGCTCTACGGAAAGCAGGAGTTTCTTGACCTCTAGCTTCATGTATCAGTTGATTGTTTCAGCTCTGCAAGTACTTGTGTATCCGTCCGATCCGTGGGTGGTTTCAGTGAATGCTGCTTGCTCTCCAGCCCAGCTCTTTAAGCCGCTCCATCGGAAGGCTCACCTTGCGAGCATTTCTCAAGTTACAGGGACAGTTAGACAAGGTGGATGCGTCCTTTGTATATTTTGAATAAGCAGTGTTATGAAATGTTCTGCAGCGCCACACACTTGGGGCAAAGTGAAAGAACAAGCTGTAGTTCCTGAAGCTGCACGTGTAGGTGGAGGTGCGAGTTCCTGAGCAGCTCTGCTCACTAAGTGAATTAAAGTTCCTTTGCTTTGTTTTTCAGAACCAAAGAAAACGGCTTTGACAGAGAGCCTTTGCACTCAGAGCATCCAAGCAAGCGGCCCTGCACTATTAGCCCAGGCCAGCGGTACAGTCCAAATAATGGCTTATCTTATCAGCCCAATGGTCTGCCTCATCCCACCCCACCTCCACCTCAGCATTACCGTTTGGATGATATGGCCATTGCCCACCACTACAGGGACTCATACAGACACCCCAACCACAGGGACCTCAGGGACAGAAACAGACCTATGGGTAAGGCATGTTGATTTTTTACATTGTTTCTTTAAGGTTTATCTTTTTCTTGTAATTATATTCTGTATTTTGAAAAGGTTTGGTTTTTTGTGTTAAATATGCCTACCGTTCAGATGTAGCCTTTATAGGTGTTTATCTATCTAGCTTCTTCTAATGGCCTTATTTTACATTTGTATTTGTGAATGTGGATTAAATTTTATCTTTGCTACACTCCAAAGCAAGAGAGTTAGAAGGAGAGGAACCCGTGCTTTCACAGCTAGGTAGATGACATGAACATCCAAGTGTCTGGCAGGCAAGGATAGGTAGAGCCTTTTATTTTACTTGTAATGCCACATTTGTGACGATAACAACATCAATATAGCTTGATTTCAGCTTAGAATAGAGGAAAGCCTTTGGAAAAGTGTTTCATGTGTGACATCTCAAGAGTGCACTGCAGCATGAGGATGTCTGCAGAGGATGCAAACGGCAGAAGCATCAACCTCACCCCATGTCGGGCTGCCCTTGCAGCATGTTTTGGTTTAATGGGATGTCTGATGCTCTTGGATTTGCCTGGCTTGCTTCACATCTTCACTTACTATTCTTCCTTCTTTCAAACAAATGTTCAATAAAAGAGGAATGTTTACAAATATTGAGCATCTGTGTAGAGGAGGCTAAACAAAGAGCAAGTGTCAGTTCCTCTTGAGTGTTGGTAGTAAACACTGACTTGGTTGTATCATGTTGTCAGCTGCTCTGATATATGTGCTACATCTCAACCACATGTTGTTTAAACATCTGTGAAGGGATGAACCCTTAATGATGCTCTGTTGACATGGTAGTAATTACTGCATTTAGTGAAATAACATTGAGTTTATACTAATATTTTTTCAACTCGGAAGTACAGCTAGCATTTGATACACTGAGTTACCAAATACTTGTCTTGCTGACTTCTTCAAGTAGTGGAAATGAAAAATTATATATTGTATTATATATACACACACACATATATATATATATTTATAAAAATTGTTTATAGTCAGAAAGGGTTATGTCCGTTTTTGAGAGGTCATCTTGCAATCTACAGAACTTGCAGAATTGAAGATGTTGAGTAAAATACTGTTTATATAATATTTGTTTATGTTTCTATATGTTTACTGTTTATACAATAGTGTGTGGGGAAAAGTGCTAACAAGAACTTAGAGCAAAGTTTTTAAGCATCCATTTATTTTTGTGATGGCATAGATACTAAACCAGGTAATGTATGATATATTTGTCTGATAGGCTCTTTTTTTCTTTTTTTTTCCCCTAGAGGACTCCCAACATTGTAAACATGATTTGCTCCTTTTTGGCAGGGTTGCATGGCACACGTCAAGAAGAAATGATTGATCACAGGCTAACAGACAGAGAATGGGCAGAAGAATGGAAACATCTTGACCATGTAAGGGCTAAATGTTCTCTTACGTGTAATTGTCTGAAAGGAGCCCTTCTAACACATGAATTTAAACTTTTGCTTTTAAAACGTCTGAATCCCTGAACAAGTTTTGAAAGCGTTGGTGATTAAATCTATAGGGGCTTGATGTTCCCCATTAGGTAGCTCATATCAGGCCTTGCAGTTCAAATGCCTATTGCAGTATCCTGAGTATTACAGACTGCCGAAAGGGGAGTAGACACTACTCCATAAACTCTGAATCTGGAACACATGACCCTCACCTTTAGTACTGGTCAACTGGACTTTTTCCTTGAATTTATTAACTTTTATAAACTTTTGTAGGCATCAGTTCTGGACCAGATCTCTTGGCCTCTGTGGTGCCATGTGATACTGGTGGTGACACTGCATTCTGTTCAGTCTTTCCTCCCTGTCTTCTCCCTTTCCCCAAGAAATCCATATCTGTACAGTTTAGGATCAGCAGTTAACAGGAAGGGATTGTCATTCTTAAAAAAAGCAAAGCTAGAGTTTTTCAGTTGTATTTGAAGTAGCAAGGAGAGACTTCTTCATTCTTAAAGCCCAGGTGCTCGGCACATTAATGTTTTATGTTTTTTTTCTGTCAATTTATGAATAAAATGTTCTTTTTTCTTTCTCTGCTTCATCCACCACCGTGAATAGCTGTTAAACTGTATAATGGACATGGTGGAAAAAACTAGGCGATCTCTCACTGTACTACGGCGATGTCAGGAAGCAGACCGTGAGGAGCTTAATTACTGGATACGGCGGTACAGTGATGCGGAAGATTTAAAAAAAGGTGGTAACAGCAGCAGTAGTCATTCCAGACAGCAGAGTCCAGTGAATCCAGATCCAGTTACATTAGGTACAGTATCCTCATTACGAATTGTTTATTGATCCTGTTTCAGCTCAGCTAAGTGCTAGATTAAGTTCATCTTTGTTCTGGTTCTTCTTTTGCGACAGTGGTGAAATAGTCCTCTCTGCTGACAACTGAACTAACTAGAATTCTTATGCCCTGATAGTCGTGTTTGCCTGTGAAATGGCTTGGTGGTTTTGATGGTACTTGGTAACTTGCTTTCCTTTCGGCAATGTCTGAGAGCGATGGGACGGGAGGACAGGCTGTCATGTAGGGATGGCAGAGCAGTGAGATGTGCACTGGCTCTCCGTCCCTTCTGACTCCTTCCCTTGCCTGCTTGATTAAGGAAATCCCTAGGTGCTTCTGGATTGTTAGCACTGTGAAACACCAAGGCCTTTCATGTTCTCAGTACTGGAACTTAACTTGGAAGTTGTCTTTTCTAAGGAAATGAAGGAAAATATAAAGATACGGGCACTTCTTAGCTGTATTTGGTTTCTGTGTAAGAAACAAATAACAACATCTGGGATGGCCACAGCTGTGCACACATGATCCTCCTGGGTCTGTGTCCACTGCTGTAGCTCACGCAGGTGTGTCTGAGATAGTTTGGGTACTGCTCGCTGTGTAGACAGAGACTCTCAGAGCTTGGCTCAAGCTGCAGAGCCCACTTAGAGCAGACCAAGCAGTTGGATCTTCATCCCCTGCAGACCTTCACAGTCACACTTGCATGATACCTCACACAACTACTCCAAGATGACTCTGCTGTATGAAAACAAGCTTTTATTTTTTGGGCTTTCTGTAGCTTATTGATATGTTGGCCTGCTTCTACCTCATCCCCTCACTTTTACAGCAGATGTGGTAAAGAAATACATCTTGGTGATGCCTTTTTATTGTTCTATGCTCTCTGGAAGAGAAAACAAACTATGATTACTTATCTAATATTTATCTTAACAAAAACGACTTGTCCATCTCAAATGCCATCTAGTTAAAATCATCATAAACTGTGGTCATTACTAGAATTGAATGTGTGCATTATTTTGCAACTATATGTTATTTAAAGCTGTGTTTTCCTTTTGCCCTTAAAAATAACTTATTAAATTTACAACTTATTTAACTGCAAATAGAAAAACAGAAAAATAAATCTAATTCCCTCTCCATCTTCCTCTTGGTAAATCTCTAGAGTTTTTACCGTAGTATTTAGTGCCTCTTTATAACAAACATACTTTTTTTTTGGTTCGTGTCAAATGATCTGAGCCAATAGCTCTATAAATTAGCTTCAGTCAGTGAAAGGAAGGGTTATGGAAATGCTGTTCCCAACTTCACTAATAAGTCTAGTCCCTAGAGGAGCCCTTCTCAGAAAGAAGCATTCAGGTAATGGCTTGTACGAATAGTGTTAAATGTAATGTAAAGAAATACTCATAAATATCGTGTCTGAAATGTCGATCACATCTGCAGCTTCGGGAAGAACGCTTGTGAGGAAGCCCCTAGATCAAAAGCAGTGACACCCTTCTCTAGTTTTAAAGCTATGATGCAAAAAGAGCCAGACCATGGTGCTTGTAAGTGTAGTTAGTAGGTAAAAACAATGAAAGGAAACGTGAGTTTTTATAATTTCCACAGGGAAACTGGAACTCGAGACTTTATAGATAATAGTACAATCGAAGAAGAATAGTCATAACCACAACTGCAACAAAAGATAAAATGAAGATCAAACATACAATTAGATCCCTATATTATAATTTTGTTTGTGTATTTGTCAAGATGAATTCTTAGAAACAGCGAAGTCTGTTTGCTTAAAAAGACGTTATACAGCACAGCCTTGGGCATTGGACACACCAGTCACCTCTGCAGTACTATGGGTGCAACTGAACTGGTTGGAGTGAGTCCTTTTCAATTTTAACATGTCTATTTTGGTTATTCGGCTTTAAAAACGACTTCCTTAGACTCATGGATATGAAATTCGGATCGCTCCATTGATTTAGCATCTGTATCAATTGTATGCTTTTATGCCTTGACATGTAAGGCAGAAAATACTTACTTTGGAGTCTATGGAAAGATAATCCTTGTATTTCCTCAAATCTGGTAGTAATGTAGTTGACAAAATGAAAACTGTTAACAGTCGGAGATACAATAAACTTGCAGCACCTGTGAGCCTTGAGATGCTGTTCTACTTAGGGCCTTTTATTTTAGTTTTGAAGTGAGGAGAAGGGGGTTTAAAAATTCCTCCAATATTTTAATCAAAGTGCCACAACACGTAAATATTGGTTTTTTGCTGCAGGGATTCTAAATGTCAGTGATTCCCCTTTGTACTTTTTTTTTTTTTTAAACGAGGTAATCCACCCTTTAAATCCATCCTGTCATCTCCACTAGCAAGAGGAAAAAAACAGGAGGCCATATGGTTACATTGTCTGTGCCTTTGTTTCTTTTGCTTTACGATTAAAATATCATCACTGAAGTGATAAGTTCTCACTATAAACATTATGCTGCGGTCTTCACAGATAGCTCTTTCTGAAAAACTCTGAGCTGATGTTTAGCATAGATAGTTTGAGTCCAAAAGGAATTGAAGGAAATTCTGGTCGTCATTTTGAACCAGCAGACCTTTGACATCCCTGTAAATCATGTTAATCTCGACAGTTCACAGTACCTGATCGATATTTTCCTGTTGATATTTTTAATTAAGAAATCAAATGAAATATTTGATCATTCGTTTTAATGCAGTGTAATCCAATACATGCATTAGCCCGCCACAACAGGTTACAAGCTCTCATTATTCTCTGAGAGTGTGTTGAAGGTAAGATGGGTCCATTCTTTTCGGTCTGAATAATGCATGTTTATGAAGGACTAAAAATGACTCAGACTTTATATATATTCACTTGATGAACTGTGATGGTCCATGAAGTGAATAATACATCATCCGACTCCTCCATTTTTGCTGAAGAATTTCAGTACTACATACTGCAGCAGGACTGCAACTTTCATCCTAATAATGAATAATTACACATATCAGACAATGTATACTGAAATACACACAGTCGGATAAATTAAAGATGAGGGTTCTTCAACATCGTGGGTTATAAACAAGATCTATAACCTTATTGAGTGCAGCTGTGGCTCTGGATAAGTGGTGTAGGCACACATCAGAAGGCGATGTTGATATTTCGTGTCTGTTGAATTTGTGTGAATGGAAATCTTGCAAAACAAAGTTTGAAATCTCTTAACTAAAGAGTGACAATACCTGCAGTATTTGTCTGAGGAAGCTAGGATTCTCAGAAGTATACGAATTTGTCAAAAACACACAGGTTACCCATTTCTTAATCCATTTTTAAATGTTAACTCTTTCAAAGCTAGTTTATATTTTATAAAAGGCTGTTCACCGTCGTACTTTCAGAGTTAGCCAGGGCA